TGCAAACATCAGAGTTTACAGGTAACTCATTCACCTGGGACATCCCCATTCTTTTTACAAGAACAGCATCCCCTAAGGTACAAACATCTCCACAGTGCTCCAGATRTGGAACAGTGTCCAGTTCTGGGCTCCTCAGTATTAGAAATACAAGGAGCTACAGGAGAGGGCTCAGAKGAGGCAACAATGATTTGGGGTCTGGAGCATCTCTGTTATGAGGTCAGACTGCAGGAGCTGGGCCTGTTTAGTCTGGAGAAGGGAAGGGTGAGAGGGGATCCCATCAGTGCACATAAACATCTCAAAGGCATTTGWCAAGTGGATGGTGCCAGACAAGGAGCATAATGGCCATAAACTCAAACACAAGAAGTTCCACCTGAACATAAGGAGGGAACTTCTTTACACTGAGGGTGACAGAGCATTGGAAGAGGCTGCCCAGGGAGATCATGGAGTCTCCCTCTCTGGAGACATTCCAAACCCACTGGACACGTTCATGTATAACATGCTCYAGGTGACMCTGCCTTGGCAGGGGACTTGGACTAGAAGAGCTCCAGAGGTCCTGTCCAACACCAACAATTCTGTGAAACCAACACACTAAGTACCATGCTGCTCTTCCTTTGCTTTGAACACCAAGTGCTTCCCTTTACTCAGCACAGAACATTGCTGTCTCGTATGCATATTTTCCAACCTTGGGCTTCTTAGAAGCATGTTTGTAGAACTGTAGATTCATGTTGTGTAGAGGCAGTATTTCTCATACAAGATTGTCTCTGTAAGCTGAAAGCATATGATGGCAGAATGAGCAAAGATAAAATGGGTAACCCAGGGTGATCAATCTCTTACACACCTTCCCTTTCAGGAAACATGTAAAGAGATAAAGSATGGGAAGTGCATAACCACTGTAAAATGCACAACCTCTACTGTCTGCAGCAATTACAAACCTWCCTTCAACCAGAGAACCATTCAACCTGCCCCTTGGAACAAGTAAAGGGCAGCACTCATCCTAAACTGACCAAGCAAAGGATGGCAGAATGGAYAGTGCAGCAGCTCTTTGGCAGGCCTCCCTCCTTTTTACACACACCCATGGTGATAAAAAGAGCAGCAGATATGATTTTTAAGAGGTTTTTTCCCTCAAATACCACACTTTGCAGGGCTCCAGGGGGAAAGAACAACTGTCTCCCAGCATCACACAAAATAAGAAAAAGAATAAAAAACAGTATCATCCCTTCAAGGTGAAAAGCACCGGCCAAAAATCCAGTCCCCCATGGGTCAGAGAATGTATCTTTCAAGCCTCAAAACGAAAGTATCTGAAATCACTAAGCACACCCAGTAAAATAAATCACATAGTACTGATGCCTTATCAATCAGGCTAATCAGAAACAGAGGCCAGACAAACTTAAGAGAATGAGAATGGACAACTTTAATACAGGCCTAACAGGCCTACTGGTACATTAGGGCAGACAAAAGCCTCCTCCTGAGGCTACACCCAAAATGGACACCGAGTCACGAGATCTTCACCTTTTGTAAGATCTGCCTTATTAACATACTGGTTCTTAATTCTCCAATGATCTTCAGGTGATGATGTTAACCACCACCCCAAATTTGCTCCCCGCCAACTCACTGTTTTGGGGCTCTGAGGCAGCGAGGTGTCCTTGGATTGAGGCTCAGAGAGGGATTGTTTTGTCTAAAGATGGGAGAACGGTAGTTTTAGTGTGGTACTAGAGAACTACAAGAATACAGATGCATGAAAATATAGAAACTAAAAACCCTAAGGCATCAGTATCACCCCATTTCCTTCCCAAAAGGGAAACTTTTCAGACATTCAGTAGACGATGGCTCTATTGACACAGGTTATTTAACAGCATCTGAAGTTTTGAAACTACAGCCAACATGTAGCTGGAAGGACAAAAAAAGATACAATCACAGGTTGTATTGTTAGTCCTATGTGTAAGGACTAACAGGGAAAGGAAATTAAAAAAATTGCTGCTCTTCAGTCAACAGTATTTTTGGTGGATAATACATATAAAGTTCTTTACAAATTCTCATACAAATCAGGATCTAAAAGAATTTGTGAGACAGATCTCACAAAGAGGAATCTCACAAAAAGCCATCAGTGAGCACAGAAGCACCAACTCTCACTATGAAACAAAGGTAAGAGCTTTCAATTTGCAGAGAAGCTTACTCTGAGACATTCTTTCCCATTCCAGACCTCATTTCTGTTACTCCTGCATCATATCAACTGTCACCTTACAAGGTGACAATACAGACAGTGGTGCATGCAGAATAAAACAGAAGCCTACAAACCTCTGGCAAATAATTAAAAAAAAAAAAAAAGAACCTTGAAACTGAAAGAAATGGGAAGAAGCATACCAACTATTTAGATTTTTGTTTTCAAAAAAATATCACTCCAGTACTATAATCAGAATTTCTGCTTTGTAATACTAATACAAGTTATGTAACAAAAATACTAACTATAGGTATGCACATTATGAAGTGAAAGTAGCCCTTAAACTGTGGGTAGAGATGCACCAGCACTTTGGAATGTATGGTAAAAGGTCTGTTGATAACTTTACATTGCCTTGAAATTTAAAAGCAATTCACCTCTTAATGGATCAGATCATATGTTTCTACACAGAAGAGATCTAAGAATTGATTTCCTGTCACTTTACTTGCTGTAGATCTCAAAGGTCTGCTGTGTTTGCTGTGCTCACAGTGAAGCAGACACATTAGCCATGCTCCTTATTTAATACTCAAATACACCTGTTTAACAACTGAGTGTCATTTTCACTGTTCCCCCTCCTGAGTAGATGAAATGTGTTGTATCATTCTGTTAACATTTTCATACTAAAAATAAGATTCTCAGAAGTCTGGAATTTATGCAGAAATCTTTTCTATAACTTGATTATTTGTTAATTAATTCTGTGAATTATTTCTGTGAATGCTTATTATGGCTCACCCAAAAGTACTTAATGAAATTAACTTAAATTCTAAAATACTTACATTAAGAAGTCAATGGCAGTAGCTCCCTGTGATTTGTAATCAGCTTCTTCCACTCCAAAATTCAAATTCCATTTATTAAACACCTTTAGGAAAAACTTTTAATCGATTCAGAGTATGCAACTAAATGCCTTCTCACARAACAAGTTATGTTCAAATTGTACTGGTTTATTTACAACTGTAGTTTATAAACAGTAGCACAAACATCTTTACATGAAAAAATCTCGTTGCTGATAGTAGGCACAGAGTCAGAGACTCTTGAGGATAGTTCCAGAARGGATTAGGAAGAGGAAAATGTAATACAACAGCTGCTGGGCATAACTATAAATACATGAGCATTGGCCCAGGTGCAATTTCATGCAAATATCTTCAACAGTTCAAGTTCTATTGGTGTTTACTCAGATACTAAGAAGAAAAAAAAAAGTAATTAGTTCCAGAATTAAGGTGCCCTAGCTTGATTTCTAGTAAAATAACTTAGAATAAATGTTTTTTATAAAGGTCAGTTTAACTTATTTTACCCTCTGATGAAGTAGCAAATGATAGGCTTTGATTCAAATACTCAGAAGAYTTCATGCAGCAAAGCTAATCCCCATTATCGTCATTTCACTGGTTAAGAATACATTTACCACAGACATACACCACTGGAATCTCTCTTTTTTTCCATGTGCATTCATCTTCTGGCTGAACACACCTGGTCAGAATGTACTCACTTTTATGCTGAACTGAAGGGTTTTAAACATCTAAATGTCTTAGACATTTTGTTTCTGGGGAGCACGAAAACTTGTTTCCAGCTACTGTCATATTCTGTCATGGAACATTCATTTCAATGCCCACACTCATCTTTAAAAGGGAAACAACCTCAATCCATGAAATGTAAAATTTTGCATAATTAAAAAAAATCACAATCCTGTAGTAAAAACTAGTTAATTTTAGTATTTAAAAATAACCCTTACCACCAATTCCAGTTATTTCACCTAGTAGCTGGTAAGAATTTTAAAAAACCTTAATTTTACAAATTGCTTGTATTTTTTCTGTTTATCTGCAGCCCAAACTGGACTTAAMCATTTTAATGAGAAAACAGTATTTTTAAGATTTATATCCGCTCTGCTCATAAACCTAAATTTTGGGTTAGTCTTTGATACTACCCAGTAGGCAAAATCAAATTTCTAGACTGAAGGCAATGGAGACATTTTATTTGCAAGGGATAGTAATTTAAAAACCATTCTGCTTTCAACTGCTTCTCTCTCATAGTCCTTCATTCCTTTAACACATTTAATGTGAACCCAGCTGCATCTGCTCTTGCAAAGATGCAGATCACTCCCATAAAGGCTGCATTAAAATGAAACAAACTGACCTTTATAAAAAACAYTTCTCCAAAACAAAAATTTATAATATAAAAAAAACGGAAACAAAAGTCCTGTTCAGAAATGGATAATAATTTACCCTATCTTAAGCCTGCTACTCAGGCACTCCCATCAGCAAACAGAAAAATTCTCTTAAGTTAGTAATCAGTTGGGAAACAGTCAGCTTGTGTCCACATACAGTATCTTGGTTGCTTCTYCTTTATAAAGTGGTCTCTACAAAGTCTTTAGTTATTAACTCTCCAAGGCATCCAATACTTTCATGATCTGTTGTTTTATGGCTTTGGTAGCATCACCCGCATTTGGAATCAAATACCTTAAAAAAAATTAGAGAAAGCCATCATTAATCCACTATAAAATTTTTGAGTGTAAATTCCTTAATTATTTTGATTCTTCCTCTGTCTATGAGGAAGGGAAGARGGGACTATTAAAATTAAAAAATACTCAGAAAATAACATTTAATTCTTGATTATACTATGAAACACTTYCTGTTTGTGAACTTATAACTGTTGAGGAGTACTTCACATGCCATCTCAGAAACGAAAATTGACTGTGGGATAGATCAGGCAGTTCAAGATCCCCACAGCTAGAACTGTTTGATCGAAGCATAGTAGTCCTTGCTTGGTTTTCATTTTGTGGTTTGTTTTTTAATTCCCATAGATAGCTCTATTCCAGTCCACAAGGATATCATGAAGTAATTCAACAAGCAGAAAAGCTCTCTGCAAAATTTTAATTTCTMTTTCTTGACCTACTACAAACCTAAGGAGCCAACAGGCATAGAATAATGTCCTTGGTTAGGCAGCAAACTCATCTTTCCTCTCTCGTGAAAACAGAGCACCCACTGTACATAACTGACTCACAGGAAGAGGGTGAGAAAACATCCAGCTGCTATAACAACCTTCTTAAAAGTGCCAAGAAACAGCAGCCCACACCAGTGATGTACCCCTCCATCTGACCCCTGTCTGAAGCATGCAGATGCTGAGCATGGCAGCACCTAACTTCAAGAAGTCAGGTTTCAGGGAAACAAGAGTTTTGAGTTTAGGCTTCTGGACTCCTTGTACAATGCACAGAAAAAGTCAGATGTTCAAAAAAACCCCACAACTGATACCACAGAAGAATGACCACACTTCAATCCCACTCTTCACAATTCCATATTTTAGCTGCAGGTAGCTGTCTACTTCATCTTCATTTAAGACATAATAAGACATAATACAAAAACTTGTATTATGCAAGTTATGCAACTTGTATTATGTGTGCAAYTTGCACACATCCCACCGCCAGCAACTGTAACTGGAGTTCCTCCCTTCTGGGTCTTGTAAATGCTCCTCATTTCACCAGCAGATCTTTTTTCTAGTTCACATGAATTATGTATTCCTAAATAAAAACTATCACTCTTTCAACTCAATTCTGGGAATTACAGAAAACTTCCGATTTCGASTGGACAGCACCCTGGATATCATTACCACTTATACCCCTGCTGCTGAGATGGCTTACCTTTCAACTGCCAGAATKTCTATGCCTGAAGTATTGCTATTTCCATATTTAAAGGTGATCAGCTCTGGGTGTTTCTTCTTGGATGTGATTTTGACTACAGAGTTAAGTGCCTGTCGRGACTGTATGTAAGCCAGTCCTTTTCGTGATGGAATCTCCCTCAAACAGTACATATGGGTTGCTGTTACTAGGAGATGACTTGAAGGAAAAGGAAATACAAATTAATTTTGTTAATGAATTAAGTATCAGCTATTTCAAAAGTTAAGTCCTTTAAATAAATTACATGGAGAGAGCTAGATAATAGTTACCAAATCTAATAAATACTTGTAATATTTTCATAATATCTAATTAAGAAAGCTCTACAAAATACTTCAGATTTTCCTTGAGTACTGTAGCATAGCCATTTCTGAAAACAAACATGACATCCCCTCCAGCATACAAACCCAATGTGGGCAGTTCAYATGGTCACCTCAAAGCCTTTGCTTCGTCAGCAAAGATCACAGCCACCAGTAACGTGTCAGGCCACGCACAGAGCATGGAAAGTGCCTCCAGGCCCTCTCTCCCTTCAGTCACACCCCAATCCCATCCCTCCACCTACAGAGGGGCAGCTCTACACATGGGGCATCAAACTAAGTTAGAACGATGTGGTGACAGCCCATGACTGTCAACCCCTGTGCCAGCACCAACACTAACTCACTGATCTTCTCCCCCAGTGCAGGACAAACGTTTGCCTTCTTTATTGAAGGAATGCATGTTCAGCTAGCAGTGGGAACACACTGCCTGAGTTTCAGTTCAGTTTGAAAACATTTTTCTTACTATCTTGTTCTTCAAAGCAAACTTCACACCATTTTGACATGTAATTACCATTCTATGACACTGCAAACACAGAAACATTTTGTTCTAGGTTGTTTCATGCTTTCATTCCCTAGATTAATATAAAGGATAAGTTAAGTGACCAACACTTTTTAAAAAATATGTATTATCAAGACAGACATTTTCATTAAACTTATGATTAATTTCAGTACCTGGGAAACATATGCCCATTTTCTTTTACTTCATTACATGGAAAGTTATACTTCACATCAGGTTTATTTATCCATGTTTGGATGTTGACAACCTCTTTTCGATCATCGTCTGACATGGAGGAGCTATCAATTTCATCTGTTTTGAAGGGACGGGGTAAAAAGGTTAAAAAAAAAAAAGAAAAAGTATTTTCACATACCATCAGACAACTTTTCAATTTACCTAAACCTACTGTAGCTACACTGGTTCAAAGCAAGGTCTACCAAACCATACAGAATTATTGAGAGGGAAGAAAGAAAAAGGCAGGCAGATCTGATATTTCTCTCTTAATTTTCTCTCAGCAAAAAACTGTTTTTAGCTCAGGGAATATCTCAGGTTGGTCCAATTTGTCTATTCAGTAAGGTTTCATGGGTTTCTTWCATTTCACTTGTCCAAACTTTCCTTGAAGCCATATAAATCCTTTGCATCTAAAACACAAGTATCTTTTGCCAAGGAGTACCAAAACCAAGCCAACTACTGTCCCAGGAGGGCCTCTTCTAGCTTCTTTTGCAAGAAGAAATGAACACCTGTCAATCYCTTTCAAGACCAGGCATTATTTTTGTGGACCAGTTTTCCTTCCTTAAAATGCCTATTTCACCTAACAAAATTTCTAATATTCAGTTGTGCCTGTTGTGAAAGTCATTTCACATCTCTCCTCACCCTTCCTCCTGAACARTCTCCTGTTCAAATGTTGCTGATGTCAAGGGCAAAAGATACACAATATTCAGTATGTGGATGAACCATAGATTTGTGAGCATTTGATTTGTTCTTCTGACTGCTAAAGAGTACTTATTATATAACCACTTATTATAAACTCACTGCTCCCAGACACAGCCAAATCCCTCTACCACTTTGGAGCTGAAACTAGAAGGGGTTGGGTTTTTTTTTTCCATGTCCTTCTTGCCTTACATTAATTCATACCAAATTTCATGTCATTTTATTGCCCAGTCATTCAGRCAAGAGAAAGACTCAGTCTGTCCGTACTGCCTCAAATAACCTTGGATCATTAGCAAAAATTGTTRTCTTTGGCAYCACATCCYWTTCTAAGGAYRTTTAAGAACATAATTAAACCCAAARTTTTCAGCACAGACCTCTGTGAAACACCAAAAACTACTCCAAGTGTTATCACTTAGTTGCAAAATACTGCTTTTATGTCTAAACATGGTGATTATGTTTACATAGTAATTTTGGTGCTACATTAGAAGAATTAAAGCAATCTAGTTGTCTAAAACAATGAACTATATTAACTCCATGCAAATTACTTCCAGAAATAACTCATGACAGCTCTTTAAAGAGCCTTTTTCAAAGCCAGTTTCCTACATTTTGTTAAATGATTTATTTCAATGCAATTCAGAATTTGAAACACACTTCTGAAAAGGTTTTCACTSAAAAAAAATACATTATGAGATTGAAGAAAATGGAACAATAATCCACCCTCATGGGTGGAATCACAGAATCCTCTGGAATCAGAATGGCTGAGGAGAGAAGGGAGTGTCTGCAGGTCACCTGGTCAAGCAGACTCACCTAGAGCAGGCTGCAATTATTACACCTGACTGCAATTACTTATTTCAGAAAAACCCCAAACACTAAAATTTCACAAAAACAATTGTATAGAAACAGGTTCACTTTTTGCATTCTTCTGTATCAAGATAATAAATGTTTCACTTCATATGTGTTGGCTTTGCTCATTCAAATTGCACTGATTCTGCTTACTTACCAAGGGTAATAGTGCTTTTAAAAGCAAATCTAAATAGAACTTAGCAAACAACCATTACTGAAAAYATGTTCTAGACAATCTGTCTTTGAGCTGGTTTTCTGAAACTACACAGACTTTGCCAAACACTATTATGGATGCTCAAAGAACCGTGCAAACTTAATTACACAGCATTTGGAGAAATACCCTGTTAGCATTAAAGCTTCTTCCTGATAATTTCACTTTGCTCCTTTACAATTTTTATAGCAGATGATGGTCAACTGTTTGTCATCAATCTTATTTAAACCTGTGACTCTCATTAATTTTSCTAAATTGCTTCTTTTGCATGTCAAAAACTCTTAGACTAGTTACTTGTTTCCCCCACAGAAGCCAAAAATGCCTTTTGGCCACAGRAGAGTTATCTGTCAAATGGTGACTGGGCATGGGCTAAAACTATCAGAGCAAAACCAGGGAAGCAGTAGGTCTGCATCATTTTAATAATAGAACTGGTCTCAAAAAAAAAGCTCCCAACAAACCTTTATGAAATGTGTGGTGTTCCAGTTTTGCCTGCAGTTTKTCAACTAGATAAAAAAATTAAATAAAAATTGCTTGTTTTTTTCCTACAGCATTATGCATACATATCAAGAGATGAATCAATTATTAACAGATTCARTGCTGAAAAGCAAAGTCTAAACTACTGGAGAGGTGTATACATATTAGCCATTCAAAGTCTAGCTCCAACTATATTTCAGAAATTCAGATAATTACACTAACTGACAATACAGACATTTAAACTGAGATAYATCAGCCAAAGTTTTTCACATTTTGCTTACTGGTGTGAGTAATAACGGCACAATTGCCAGTTTACAYGCACAAGACCAGTGTAGAAAAAGATCTTTACTACAGAAATAACAAGTGAAGACAAGAGAGCCACTAAACCCATTTWTTACCATTTCTTCCTGTTGGCTAGTGCCTACCACAAATTATTTTTTATTTGTACATAACTTTTATGTACACATTTTTTATCCATAGTCTGCTACTATGTATTTGAAAAGGGTTGGTCCTAGGTACCACCATAAAACACATGATCAATGATRATAATTAGACAATTATCATATTGCAAGACAAAGATGCAAGATACACTCTTATGGTTTAGTCCAATATTGATAATTTTGTTTGAATAAGCTAMTCTAGATAAGAGGAAAATCTTGTACTGTACCAGTATCATACTCTTCTTCATCACCGATGCTGAAAACCGGCTTCACACCTCGGTAGGGTTTTCCTACTCTGTCACTGCTGCTGACATGTCTGTGGCAATGAAAAGGGCAGGAGAGGAAGAGGGATGGGAGAAGAAAAGTAACTTTGAAACTGATGGTCTGAGTTCTACAATAATGTATTAGCAAATGCAAACACAGCTGTGCAACAAAGAAGGACAAGAGAATTTCATGAAGCTGCCTGCAAGGAAGATGTGAGTGACCCATCAAGTAACTTGGTTAGTGAAAGCACATAGCTCAGTTACTTTGTGAGGCTGAGTGTTGTAACAAAGAAAGTGAAAAGAAATGCTATTTTGTTTTAAAAAAAMCCCAACTTCTGCTCACCATSTCAAATGGCAACATATATCAGAGACCTGAAAACTGACTACATGCCAAGTTTCTAGCATGAAACTAAAACAGATCTGGACAGTCAGGGCAACTTCACAAGAACGCCAAATTTAGATGAAGAAAAAAMCAAAGGCTATTAACTAACATGTCTGGCAGTTAATTTTTCTGGTGAATTCCTCAAAACATAACAAAATGCCTTAAGAACTATGAAGTGGGGTTATTACAAACCATCCACTGTTTATTACTTCCAGCTCGAGTCGTATCTTGAAATATTTGGTCAAACAATTCCTACTGCTACAATCAAGCACCACTGTGACACTGATGTAAAGAATCACATTTAAATTGTTTCTACAGATSATATCAAATGTAGCAAACACACACAACTGAGTCTTAATGTGTGACAGCAYTATTGCTATTCCTGAGATATTTTAAAGTTCCAGCTCAGAATGCTGTGATTACATGGTCACAGCTGAACTAAAATCTCTTGCCTTCAACTGTCGAAAATACCCGAAAAATATGAGAAAAAAACCCAAAARTTCAGAAAGCCACAAAACAGGCAATTTCTGGGAAAAAAAAGTCATGGTTTTAGCCTTCAGAACAGGCAACACTTAGTAGTTTAAAAAAAGTGAAAACAAAACTGAAATTTGCCTGTCCTTTTCCTCCAGTTCAATAATCTCCTTCCCATACTGAGCATTTATCTTTCCTACCAACTCTAAGCCTTGGTTCCTGTTTTAAGTATATTCACAAGCTCCAGTTTACATGCCACTGTAGAACCATGCTGGACAGAGAACAGATTTAGTAACAAGTAAATCAATGCTACCACTTATAGATACCTGAAARTAGAATTGGAAGTCAGAAAAGAAAACAATGTTTTCTATGGGCAAAATTTACCAATATAAACAAAATAAGTTAAAAAAAACAACCCAACAGAAATGCTGTCTATAATGGCACAAAAATAAACATACAATAACATGCTCATTAGTGTTTAAGACAATAAGCATCAATGACACTGACAATTCAAGAARACAGTGCTTCTATCTGGAGGGTTTTGTAAATATGCTTTAGTAAGACATAATCAATTGAGTAAGAAGCAGCACAATTAAATAATGTCAAATTCAATTATGCAGAGAGGAACTAAGAGCAGATCTCACTGGTGTTTATCAGTTGAAGTTAGTCAAGAGAGAGTAAACAAGAGAGTAAAAAGCTATTTCATAAAAGCCTAGTAAAATCTTAAACTAGAAATTTATTCCCTTTAACCTCTTTACATCGTTACATGGTTACAAATTGAATGACAAATGTCCCTTGGTGGCAGACCTGCCAAATGCAACATATTGGTAATAAACATGAAGTAGATCTAATTGAATGGATGCAGAAAAAATGCCATTCTAGGTCTGTAAGAACTGTAACTTTAAGAAAATACTCYAGGGATATATAGTGCAAGCTAATTTATTATTGCATCTACCCAATGAAAGAAAATATTCAACGGAAGAAGGAATAAGCCAAACAACCAAATTAAAATCTCAAGATATCATAACTTCTTGATTACAAATACAGATTCATACATCTTCAAGTTATCGAAGAATTATCATGTATTTAATTTGGTATTTCAATAATTTCTTACTGTATTCTAGAAACAGATCAACAAAATGTGGGGTACAATCCCCACGTTCTTTACTATTTGTAAATTAACAAAAACATTCTATGTGCTATTGGGTGATTCCCATTGTTCTTCTTTTAATTACTTCTTTTAACATTACTTCTGATTTTGCTTACACAAACACTACCTTTTCCATGRTTCTTTTGGGTGAATCCCAGCACAAATTATGTGCAAACTACTTGAAAGAAAAGTTAGTCAAAATTCCTTGAAAGCCCACTTGTAAAATTTTCACTAATTCATGCAGCATCAATCTTCATGCTTTTCAGTGTGCAAGGATCAAAAGCTACTAGAACTCCTAGTGTATAACCAAAGTTCCAAAGTGATTACGCATAAGCTGCTCTTCAATTATCACAAGTAATTTTATATACACTCAATTCACAACTTTTATTGTTGAAGTATAATTATAAGACAATGTATATGAGGTAAATGTGAAGGGCCTCCACATTTGCATGAAATGCAGTAGCTATGTGAACAAGATGAGGTAGAACTGTAAAGCATATTTACTTACAATAACTTTTCTTTTCCCAGTAATGAGCATGTCTGTCTCTATCAGCATGTTTCATCACCATGTGATAAGAAGCATAAAATTTGAGAYTTCCAGACAGAATTTCCATATGGGTTCCCTGTCATATCTAAGTTCTGATGGTGTTTTATGAAAAGTTTACTTTCATACTTGTAGTCTCTCATGAAAACCTTAAGCCATAATTTGTTCAGTAATTACTCCTGGTGTCTTCTACTAGTACAGGATACTAGTAAAATGTATATAGGAAATGACAAGTTTAAAAAAAATCCATAAAAAGCAATAGCAAGGAAAAAAACAGAAATAACAAAGCAGAAACTAAGAGAAGAAAGTAATGCCAGTACATTCTTTTTTCTTCCTTTAGTCTCTTGACCAGTGCTTGTAAAAAGTAATAGCTTTGATATATTCCAAAAAAYTAAATTTATATCAAAATATGCAAGCAATCTTGTCAGTGTAACCAATGCTTACAAACATTGTGATGCCATGCTAAATACAAGAAAGGTGGTTTTAGTCAGACTGCTTAATTATCAAGCTTACCGCTCCAGGCTTGCTCTGTCTGGCCAGGAAAGATTGAAAGGTATTCTATGGTACATTGGGGCAGAGGACAGAACAAAAGAATTAAAAAAAATGTAAAAGAAAAGCCAAAGTAAATAGCTGAAATTCTCTATATTGGYAATGTATCTTCCTCAAGAAGGATGCTTGTAAATCAAAACAAGGCTTCATTAAGGTTGGACATGAGGTAAAGAAATATTAACAGAAAAATCTACTAAGACAGCATGGGAAATGCATCTCTATGGCTTATGTGCAAGCAGCATTGATTTCACAGAACGMCTTAGGTTGGAAGGGACCCTACAATCCATCTTGTTCCACGCCCTGCCATTCACAGGAACACCTCACACCATACAGCTTAAAGCCCCACCCAGCCAGGCCTTGAGCACTGCTCAAGGGTGGGGCACCCAGACTTACCATGGGCAACCTGTGCCAATGCCTCACCACCCTCACAGTAAAGAMTTTCTTCCTAATATCTAATCTAAATCTAACCACTTTCAGTTTAAATCTTCACATTCATTCAATTTAGTTCTTCACACAGCAAAAGCTACTCCTAAATGCTATTTAAGATTTTTTTTTTGCCTCTAATTGTGAAATTAAAGTAATAATACTAATTAAAAAAAAAAAACAAAAACATTTTCCTACACAAAAAAAAGGAATGATCTGGGGTTCAAGACTATTAAAAACTACTGTTCATTTGGCATGTATTTTAAATCCTGGTATCAAACAAATGCTAGATCTCTGAGATTCCTGAATACCAATGTCTTGGTATTCAAAATGTAACTTCAAAGGCTGGAATACCAAGAACAACAACAGGGTTTTTGTTTAAAGCTTTGACAGACGAAAGCTGTTATTCTTGTATTTAGTTAAGTATATGGAATGATGACTTCCAAATTTGAAAGCATTCTTCAATGTACTTGCACATTCTTGTTCCTAGCTGTACTTGAAGACACAAAAACCAAATGGGTGAATTCTGGGTTTGAAAAGCAGCTTTACATCAGGACTTGAAAAAATCAAGATCTTTAAAAGAATTAAACTCAATTTGACAAGATGCAGCAGCAAAAAAAAAAACCAAAACAGAACAAAATCAACCAACAAAACCCATGCAGAATCCTGTGATTAATTCATTTCATTAGAGTCAGGAGGGGGAGGAACTGAAATAAAAGTGAAATCATTGTTCACTTTTAGACTGGAAACAAAACTGACACATTGTAAAAAGTCACCCATGCAATGACAAATTCTAGATAAACATTCAAGGCAACAGGGACCCACCCACACTGGCCTTGCAATACTAAGGCAGCACAGTAGGCTCACTGTGTCATGATAAAATTGTGAGGAGGGTAGGGGCAGAAAATTTAAAAACTGAATATGGAAGACAACTTTCTCCTAATTAGCTYAGTTTTCACACTTACAAAATAGCCACATGAAATAGGAGGTCATTGCTCCCAGCTAATGCACAGTGAGATACAAACAACGCACCTGTCCACTGGAGTAGATGTATTTTCAATAAAACTGATAACTTTCTCTTTCACATTCACAGATTTAGTCTTCAAAGCAACYGTCATTTTATTCACTAGGGACTTCACTCCTTTTCCATCACCTGAACCGTTAGGAGAATCACCCTGTAAAAAGAACTCCTCTCGTATAAAATCGTATAAAAATATGTTATTATTTTAAAATATGTTATTATTAATCGTATAAAAATATGTTATTTTATCTCAATGGATTTGTTTCAAACAGAAACAGACTACAATATAGCAATTTACTTTCTGGTACTCAGTTGGACATTAATTACAGAATTGAGTATTTCTTTASAGTTCCATCAAGTAACAGCAATGACAAATGACTGAGAAAAATATGATCTCATAAAGCAAGCTTGACAAACTATATATCTGAGCACTCTGCTATGAACATCTAAACAAAGGAACCCTATTAATGAATACTCTACATCCAAATTAAAAACCAAATCCTACACATAATATATCATCTGTAAAAAAAGATACAGTTTTGAGCTTTGCCATGAAATTGTATGCCACTTTATAATAATTCATTCCCAGAGTGAGTAAGAGCCAGGAAGAGTTGTCTATTACATATATTCTCCTGCAGAATGACAACAACAAGTTCTAATCTACAAGCCCTTCCCCTCAAGAGGATAAAAATGTTCAGGTCACCTCTGACTAGACAGTGACCACACAAGTGAAAACAGTCATGACATGTAGTAAGCCATTTTACACAACAGAATGAAGAATATTAAGAACAATTTCAGTACACCTAGGGCTCTCATCCAGCTATACCACTTGTGCTTAAAATTCACTTACATCAACAGAGTTTATGCTATTTCTTGAGCCTGAGGTACTAGCAATCCAGTGGCCATATCCATTTTCTGGTCCTTCCACATTTATATCTGCTAAGTGCTGCTGGAGGGCTGTTAAAAGACCATTAGAAAACACTCAGAATACACTGGACTTAGTCTGCTGATGAAAATATTGTATATTTTATTRTATATTTATATTATATATATACTGAAACTAATCAGTAACAATTTTTTCCCCACGATTTAAAGAAACAGATAAATTCAGATATCACTACAATAATCCCAGGCTTTTCTTTCAGCAGTACAAAGGCATTGAGAGAATCTAATTATCTAATGCCTACTCAGCTACCTAATATACTAATTATTTTAGTAAACAGTTAAAATACAGCAGCAATTAAAAATAAATCACTGCTTTGACCTAGAAGACAGCTCTTACAACACTGCACATATTAATTATGATGTCCCTACACACATACTGTAGCACTGATCTCTCCACTGTTGTTGAGCCTAATTGTTTCCAGCAACATCAACTGCAGAACTATGAACTGCAGATTTAAGAAATCATAACAGCAATGAATAGTAATTATGAAGTTGCATCTTCATACAGGGGCTAAAATATYAAGAATGGTAAGATGGAAGAAAGAAGGAAATTCCCCAATTCCTGCATTTATTTTTCACTCAGAAATTTGTGTAAGCCATAAGTTAATCACAAATGTGCAAGTGSACAGTGTTTACTTACACAAAGCAAAAACCTGACAAATGAGACCTAGCTGCTATTCATTTAGATGGTTGTTAGCAAAAGCCTCATAAAAATACCAAGAGTTAAGATTTCAAGATTTTTCAAGCCAAAGTTCATTATTAATAAGCTTACCCATAAAGCCTCCTTTGGCAATGCTTACATACTCCTTATTTTTCTGCAACAGAAAAGACAATTCTGATCAGAGCAAAACCCAGTGGACTAAGTTTGGCAAGTATGGTAATGAAACATGCATTAGTTTGTTTACTAAAACCTATAAACTCAAGTAACGTAAAAAACAGTTACGATTTTAAGAGGAAAATGTTTTATCATTTATCCATGATTTTACCATTTTACCRTCAATGACACATGCAGACACACTTCATTTCAGCTGTTAAATCAATGGCAATTTAATTGTACCTGTAAGAAATGTGCTAACACCATGTTCATATACATATCTTCTTCTTCCCTGCCACTTCCCATGAAGCACAGATGTTCCCCACCAGCTATGGAGCCAGACTCAATAGATTGTTTTTGTGCTTCTAATAGGGATTTTACAGACTGTGCAAATTCTGATGGGTTTTGAAGCATCTGTGGAATGAAGAAACAAAGAMTGCTATTTGACACCAGCATATTGTAACACAAGTTGTGAAAAGAGACAAACTTTGACAATGGTTATAATTTGTTGAGCACAAACAAGGCAAAAKCAGCACTGTACAAATCACACACACACAGAACCTCAGAGACCTCATGTTATGTGAAGAACCCTGTGAATGGTCCTTTACATCCTCACCCCAGGATAGAAATGCAGCTAACATTTGTGAGCTTATTTTTGCGGGCATCGTATCATAGTGAAAAAGTCTTTGCAATTTTCATGTTGCAGTAATTTGGTAATATGCAGTGGGACTGGTTTCCATATTTACATGTGCTTAGGCACAACACATTCAAACTTYAGAGATTTGAAACCCTTTAAATTACCTGGAAGTTTTAGTTGCCAGTAAAATATTCCTCTTCTTGTCTCCCCACTAAGCTTTTTCTTATTTACTTACCAAGATTTGGGAATAGAAATTACAACTGAGAGTACAAGGAGTTATCTGTGACTCTTTGTACTCTCAAAAAGTTAAGGCTGTGATCTCTTGAAGGCCTACTATGCATGCAAAAATATGAATTCTTTATGAAAGCGATGGAGAAACAAGGACTTTCTCAATACAGCTAAAATTTTAACCTGTGTTTGTGGGGAAAGTGCTTACATAAACTAAAAAGGAAGTTTTGACCTGTAACTGGACTGGGGRCAGGGAGGGCCCAGAAGGGATTCTCATTATCTAGGTTTTGCAGTGGATCAAATGATGAAGGGCAAAGTCACAAGTACACAACGTAGGCATCAGTAAGCTGAATTTTAACTGGGGTTTTACCAGAGATAAAGGTGGCTGCTTTATTATGCAGGTCCTAAATCTCACTACTTCCTCTATCTATAAATGAGTTGGATTCCAAAGTGCTTTCTTTCCCCATTGTTTTCCCCTTACAACAATTTTTGTGTATTTTGCACATACAGGAATATAAAATGCATTGAAATYCCATTAATGACTTTACATCACAAAGATTTTTCTCAGCAATAAACTTCTAAAAACAAGGATGAACCTGGTGACMTTCACACACCGTGTTTCATGAAAGACCTGAATCACACCAAATGACACATGCTGCAGGAGTTAATTCCAATGTACAACTTAAATACATATGGACTAATCATATCTAATTTAGGACTTGTTTTCATGGACTTGTTTCCAGCTTTTTGCGCTACTTAATAATTTATAATGCTTATTTCTACTTAATTGAATATGACACTCAATTAAGGCTAGTATAGACACCCACATAGGACAGGAAAAATTCTTCCCTAAATGATTTTTGGTCCAGGTTAAAACCCATACTATATCAAATAATCATTCAAGTTGGAAAAGATCCTTATCATCAAGTCCAACCATAAACTTCACACTGCCAGCTCACTACTAAGCCACGTCCCCAAGTGCCACATCTACAAGTAATAAATACCTCCAGGGATAGTGACTCAACCCCTTCCTTGGRCAGCTTGTTCCAATGCTTACAAMCCTTTCAGGGAAGGAATTTTTCCTAATATCCAACTTAAACTTCCCCTGCTGCAACATAAAAGCCACTTCTTCTCCTACTGCATTTTACTTAGAAGAAGAGACTGACACCCATTCTTGCTAYAACCTCCTTCAKAYAGTTATAGAAAGTTCTAAGGTTGTRTGTCAGYCTCCTTTTCTCTGCWATGTAAKTATRTTTGTGCATATAATAATAATGAATAATGCATCATTTTAATTCTAGAGGTAAAGATATTAGATGCAGGACTGAACTCAGCTAAGGTATCAAAGCTTTTTACTGTGTATATACATATAAATCATTCCAAGTAGCTCCCATAGACTGTTTAAAGTAAAATAGTTGAGAGCTAATCTAGAAGTGATGACACACTGCTGAAATGGAAGTGATTTTGGGGGGGGGAAAGAAAAAAGAGAAATATGACAATGTTTAATTAGGAACTCATAATCAAATACAAAGTACAAACTCTTTATGGAAGTTATTCATCCATAGGCACACCTCAGTCCCAAAATTAATGCACTCTTTCATATTGTACTCCAAAAATTTTAAAGAACCAACCAAATTCTTTTCAAGACATGTGTTCCTTACAAGCAGACTGTAGTTAGATTGGCTAAAAAAAAAGACAAAAAAGGTGCTCCTTTTTAAAATTAATCACACCTTTCACTGGAAATTGGTATGCTAAAAAGAGACTTCTCCTCCAAGCAAGGTATAGTCTTTAGTCTGTAGAGGTTTCCACTCCTAACCTATCAACAGRAAGTCTGGAATCCCAAATTCTTATGTCATTAAGGACTAAACTTCTTGGTAAAATGATGGTTCTACAATGTCCTTTAGAGATGCTAACTTCTGAAACCTTACCATCACACAGCTAGACACCAGAGTCTACAGACTACAGCCTAAACTAAGGATACTTTATTTTTCAAKGCATTTCTCTCCCCCTCTATCTCACTTAGGATTCAAATACCAATAAAGAAACAAAAAGTATACGAACCAAATCTGAGTCYAAATGAAATGCTGTTGATAAGTGCCCAGCATTGTATTGCTCCGCAGGACGACAATCCACCACAAAGAATCTTACTCCTTCCTGAAAGAGAAATTWAAAAATTTTAAAATTGCACAGTCATTGACAGAATTCAATTACATTCTCATACAAACTCCACTACTATATAGGAACTGCTTGAAGGGGCTATGAGTTATTAAAAAATCTTACTTCATTTGATTAATTTGAATTTTGGCTACAGTTAGACACCAATAGTATCCTAGGAGCAGCTCTCCATGAGCACATCAGCTTGTGCATGAGAAAGGATCAGCCAAGTACAATTATATAATTTCTACTGAGAGGAAACATAGTGGGTATGAGACAATCCAAGAATCCACTACTAATCAGCATAGTGCATAAGGATAGCTTTWTATCCCACCAGCTTGAACAGGAGATAAACACATGCTAAACTTCTTTTGGACAAGGAAAAAAAAAATCAAATTATGCATGACAAAACTGACAACTGCAATGAAAAGTCAGTTATCACTATGAAACACAGTAATCTAACTACATTATGATCATATACTGGTCTTGAATACTTCTAGTGAAGTCCCTGCATCTATGTCTGCAGGGAAATAGGTTTAACCAATTTTCCTTTTTTCCTTTAAACCTTTCAATGACAAAAGACAATTAACAGCATTCTTCTCAAAGTTACTGAGTAGTGGATTTTAAACTTTCCTTTGGAAAGGAGTTCAAATTAGTGARATACTACTTTAAGCTTACACTTTTCAAATTCAAACCAGCTGTCTTAAGCTCCCCTTTGCTCCTTCCTACAGCACAAATGGACTGAAAACAGCAGATCATTTACAAGGAAGAAAACTTCAAGACAAAAATATTTTTCCTGAAATAGCAAATACTCATTTTTGCTCTTAGCATTTAAAAATATTGGCTACTGATTGATTCTTCTCCCTTTCTATAAAATTGGAGGGGAAAGTTAACTCAGTATACTCACTCCTTGTTGCTGATTTGCTTGCAGAATCTCAGACACAGAAACTGCTAGACACAGAGCCTGGCTCAAGTCTGTGTCATCATCTTTGAGGCCCAGCAAGCTGCTGCCAAAAAGACTGTGGTTGTCCTAGTAAGAAAAGGGAAAAAAAAAAGATTAACTGAATCCATTGTGTTTAGATGTGAAAGTTTAAAATAGAACTACATCCACTATGTCACAAATATTAAGTTGCATACATACATATCCTGTCCACATAGTAATGAAACTTACAATCAACTGAAATTCTTTTTGAAAATCATGGCAAGGTCTGCACTTCCATTACAAGCATRCTTGCTCACCACTTTGACCATGCCAACATGATGCAGTGCCTCTGGTATTTGTTTTTCGGTTGTTCCTCCCCCCAAAAAAACCTCCCACACCTGTCTACACACATCAGAGAAACTACATACAAGTCAAAGGCAATGGTTATCAAATACTTTTATTTCATTCAATCACTAAGTCAGATATCATGAGTAAGGAAGAACTGCAAAAACAGTGCAGGTGACAAMAGATTTATCTCTAGTAAGTGACTTTTTCCTCTTTGCTATTGCAAGTACAGCAAGGACTGCTGGGCAGTGTACTACAATGCAATTGTCTAAGTATGAAGTTTAGCTTCATCAGTTCTTACAAGAACCTCATTCGGAAAATGTGGTTATCACCCGTGAAGTGAGAATATTGCAGAAAAGCCTTAATGTGCTTCACTTAACTTTCTTATCTTTCAAAGATTGTAACAGTAAAATATCACTAGAGTAGCAACATGAAAAAATTATCAAAAATTGCAATGAAAAATTCAAAGTTACTGTCAGCAAGAGCCTAAACACTCACCAAGTAGAAGAGACTTTAAAAATTACTGTTATTACCTTCCTGAAAGAAGCTGGAGTTTTGCTACAGTAATATTGTGCCAAAGAGAAGAGATCTTCTATATCCTCTAAATCAAGATTGGCTGGTGATGTTTCTAAGAATTCTGAGACAGACAAACAACATAAATGCAACACTRTTTCAGACACAGAAATGAAGCAACATATATATTTTATAACAGTAACTTTTTTTGTAATAAGGCATAACAATCTGGTGTATTGATTAAACATGAATATTGATCCACTCTCCAGATAAAAAGATACAGGAAATACTCCTCATCTATAGAAAACTTATACGTATTACTAGAAGATCAAACCTCTACACAAATTACTTTGTAACACATTCTTACTTCTGTATATTTTTAGCTTTTRGTTCTAATTCTAAATCAGCTCCTTTTTCTAAAGAGCTCTGACCAAGAGAACCCTTTAAAATGAGCACTTAATCAGTAGAACTGTTGTATGCCCAGGGTGCAGTTCTGCAGTATATGGCAAAGACATGAAATTACAAGCACTCTCATTTCTAACTACTASGAAATTATTAATTACAYTGTATTATGTATGTAAAAAAAKAAAAATGCAAGTTATTTAAACCTTCCGTTAAAATTTAATGCATATTCTGTAAATACAATGAATTAGGCTCAGATCAAGCGCATATGAAGATAATTCAGAAAATGCAACAAGTGTGGTAGATTTAAAGAAGGATTTGAAAGCTGTTGCTTTGGGCTTAGAAACATGATGATTGTTTCAAGTACTTCAAACTGAAGTATAAAACTAGGTGTGGGAATACTAATGGGAAACAAGGACAGAAGGTCAAGCACAGGGCAGCAAAACAACAGTAAGAAAGAAATTAGTGGGTGAAGGGATTAATTAATGAGAAAAAAATTACATGGAAATAAACAAATCAGCTCTTCAGCAGTTAAAATTAATAATAAATGGGAATTACAGAATATGATAAATATTCCACTAGCAGCTATGTAAGAGAAGTACTTACTTATCATTTCTTCTTTATCTGATTCTTGTGCTAAGATAACGTCTCTGAAAACAGTAAAGTCACAGGCATAGATTAAGTCAGTAAAACCAAAGTGAAATAAACCTGGATTAAAACAGTGTCAGCAAAGAATGTCCCAAAGAATTAACTACACACTTACTTTGCATTGACAAGGATGATCAACATTAAGAAATAAATAAAGAATGGATCTGCTTGTTGTAGATATCCATCCCATACTGCCTGAGTGACTTCAGCTGAACAATAGTATGAGAAGAGGCTTCCAAGCTAAAAATTTGGAAAAGAATGTGAGAAAAAGCAATTACCAGGAACAATCTTAACAGGATTACATTTTAAACASAGATACAAGATACCTAAAAGAAAATAAAATCAACACAATTATGATAAAACCTACATWTGCACAGTGTATTGAAGGATGGTTYTAACYTCTAAACMAATTTTTATGGAAATAGTGCACAACACTGCCATTATTATATATTATCTATGGATAGATATGCCTGTTGTGAAGGCAAAGTTGGATGTACACTGCCAGCCTTGCAAATTCAACCAYAGATAACACAATCAAGCTGGAATACTATTTAACTCACAGCCACTGTTAAATACCAATTATACCAACAAGACAATCATAAGAGAATATATTTATTCAAATAGCATAGCAATTAAGGCTTTAAAAGGATCCTGCAAACATAATTATTTTTATTTTCCACAGTAGAATTGAGCTAATTGAACATGGTTGCAGATTAGTTTGACAACATCATTTATTTAGCATTACATTACGATGGTTTATGAACTGAGTAATTAAACATTTGCAAGCATCAGAARATTTTCATTACCATTTAAGAAMCTCTTTGTCTGTTMCCAAGTTCCCACTTGAAAAYACATCCTCTCTGATATGCAAAGTTCAAAGAAGATAAAAKGTWGGAACTTTCCATACATGCCAGGTAACATTTACAATCACAYGWCTCAAATGCATAACCACCTGACTCCACTGGACTTGCTGATGCACACTAATTCTGTACCAAAACATCTATAGCTTTCAAAAGCTTGATATCTGTTTTTAAACACTATCACAGACTATTTAAACACTTCCTAGTATAGTTTTATAGCAAAAGATTAAAATATCTATTCAATTCTGACTCAGATGCAACTGAAGACAAAACATCCATGAACAAGATGACAATGCCAGGCCTTTGTATGTTGCTTATATATTTCCATGTATTASTAGTAATACCTCTATATAGACTAAGTTTTTTCACACTTGAAACTAGGATTTTTTTTTCTGTAATCTCATTATATAAAATGAGGCTTAATATTTTTCCTAATATTGTACATCAGGAAGCATGGCACTGAGGACTGGCAGCTACACCAGCTCACTTCACTACCACCTTTCAGAGGAAAGATTCTTTTTCTAGTTAGGCACCAGAATTCTCACAAACAACTTCAAAGAATTTTGTATTTACTAAGGAAAATTCTATTAAAAATGGAGATTGAGTGGCAAAAAAAGGATCTGATTTCTCTTTTGAAGACTCATGACTGGCAAAAGATTGATTTTGAGACTACGGAAATTCTTTCTAGACACATTTTTATACTAAAATTGGCAGCAGCCATAAAAAAACAAATTCAGACTTCACAGTTTAATAATTAATTTCAGTCTTCTTTAACTGAAAATACACAAAGTTGAAAAAATTTTACATAACCAATGAGTATGTAAGAAGGACCTAAAGGTGTTCATGGGTCAAAGACTTCTTTCTTAAATTACAGATTTTGCCTGTGCAAGCACAGTAYCATGATTTTGTACTGCATATGCTAAGTAGCATTGAAACCTAAGAATTYCATTGGGGTCCTGCTACACAAACTTTATAAAAAAAAAAGATTGAGGTAAGCATCTTAGTAACTACCCCCAATTTGAGACAATTTTGAAGAGGAAATGACTAATGCTTTAAAAGTTGTAAAATATATGTGCCTAAATTATAGAAGACATTAATGCATGTACTAGCATGGAGGTTTTAAAAACAATTCATATTTCAGCCTTAAAAGACCTAGACTGATGTTTATCCATTTTTACAGCATACAGCTGCCCACTATCAAAACTAACATCAGGACTTCTTGCTTTTGAGTATGTCAGCTGCTGTTATGCTTTCTTACTCCAAGAAGTTCCTACCATCAGTGGTTCAACAATTACTCATCCAGTATGACAAAAACATGACACTATCAAGACCTTATACCTTATGCAAACAACTGAAGACAGAAAGTCCACACTATATTAAAACATGCAATTTTTTTCAATATATGCAGTTCTAATCTCTTGCACCACTCTTCCATAAATGGCAACATGTACTTAAATTTTAATAGAAATTTATTTTTCATTATGTTTCCCTACTTTCACTTTATTACCCAGTTGAGTGCATATGAATCTGGAGTCATCTTCTTGGTATCAAGAAAGGAGCAGAGTTCAGGCTCATGGTACTGAAGCAGCAGTCTAAATAGATGAAATGGTCTTCCTTTCATAAAACAATCCCTAAAAAGTAGCAATGAAAATAATCATAAACTCCCTGTAATATTGCAGTTTTCARACTTATAGTAGCAATTCTTTACTATCTGTGATTATGAAATTTCCTGTACATTGCTCTTGTATGTAATTCACAGGGACTGATATGACATGAACCTGTCTCAAAAGCCAAAAATCCAACCAACCAACAAAAAAGCTCAAAACTCTGAAGCCCCCACAAAATTAACAAGGCAGGAGAAAGAATGAAATATTGGCAATACTTAATGGATTATATAATATAGAAGTATTTAAAACAGATTTGAATCTCAAAAAAAGGCAATCATGGTACCTGATGGTGGAGCAGAGATTTGCTGATCTACTATAAATTGTCTATGTCTTTTATTCTCCCATTGAAGAGAAAAAAAAAACCCCAGGAAACAATCTACATCTCATTGAAACACCCCTACAGAGCAGCTCAAATACTAGATACTCTGAAAGCTTTCTACAGCTGAAAGCACATGAGTTATGTGAGCATAATGCCACTATTCCCAAACAGTTTACAGAGCCCAAGAGCATTTCAGACTAGAAAGGGACACAAGCTGAGTCAAGTGACAGGACTGATGAATGCTTCCTGCCACAACAGCAAACATGCACTTTTCATATTTTGGGCACACATCCATCAGCCAAGCTGGAATTTCCCCTCCAGGCAATCAGACAGATCTTCAATTACAGACTATCCAATCTTGATAAAGTGTCATGGTGCTCYAAATTACATAAAAACTTATTTAGTGAGAGCACCTACATAACAGCATGAAAAGCTCAAATTCAGTATTTTTCATATAAAGTATCTAGCAACTTAAAAAAAATAATTTCAGTTCCAACTCAATAGAACATAGGGAAAACATCACCTCCTTCTAAAGAGATTTTGAGACTTAATTGGTGCTTATGAATTACTGTTTCTGAAGGGATAGAAGTATTTTAAATAYCAAAAATGCTAGGAAAGGAAAAAAAAACCACTTCCACCTAACCTATGTGAATTAGTTCATAAACAAATGCTTTTGATATTGCATGAAAGGACAGCTCTTTAAAAGGCATATTGAGTCCAGATCAGTCACACACTAACCTTTGCATCTTAAACTACTTAATCATCTCCTGCATTTCAAACCAACAGGAAATGAAATTTATTATCACATGAAAGAATCTGACAACATTGCTACTCTAGCCAAAACCAACAGGCAGATCTTTCAGAGAATACTCCTAATGCCAATCAAAATAGTAAATATGGAAAAGAAAGAGTTTTACCTTGGAATGAATTTATTCATGATAGCATAGAAGCAGTTGTACAAATCACTGCGGGGCAAATGAAGGTGCACCAGAGGTTTGAGCAGGTGTATCCAGCCRAGGCAAGAACTGTATTTAACATTGCGTGATTTACAATAAAAAGTAATAACAGACTCAATATCCAAAATTAATACTGACTTCTCTTCTTCTGGCACCGACAATTGGTCTGAAATAGGCACAGTAACATAAACTGTTAAAATAAAGGCTTTTCAAAGAAATTGAGTGCGATCATTTCATAGCACAATTGCACTGATAGAGTTTGATTAGGGGAGAAAAACCAACAAAGTCAGACAAAAAACTGGCAATCTGGATTAAATTCTTACAGAAAGGCATTCAAAAAGGCATCAAAATGCAAGTGATTCTACAACCCTGTCGGATAAGGCATTTAAATATAATTACAGCTATATATAAATATATAAATACAGTGTATATATAAATACAACAGTATGAAAGAAGCCTGAAGATTCCAGGATCTATAGGAAAGAAGGAGGCAGATTCTTTTAATGCCCAGAATGCGCATTCTACTCCTATTTGATGTGCTTAGTGCACAACTTAGGCTCAATTCTACAACAAATTCACCTGAATTTCAACACAGATCAACTCACAATGCATATCCTTTAATTTTTCAAAAGCTCACTGACATGCAAATTTATACAAATTAGGCTTACAGACTTAAATTTTAGCACTAACTTATAAATTCTATTTTTTTTTATGTCCAGGATGGGGGAAAGAGATATGCATACACTACATTAATACAGAGGCWTTAAATTTCTAGCAAACATCTTTCCCCCTCAGTTACAAAAGGCCCATGAGTCTTATTACTGTTAATAATTATTCTTCATTACAAAAGTTCTCAATACTTTCCCATCAAAGCCAGTCAATATTTGGCRTTCCTTTTCTCTACCTCTCAGAATAACGAAACAGTAGATAAAACCTGCATGTCATCTGAAGATTTACTTTAAATTTGGAGACTACTTGCTTCGCTAAAMCATTGAAATAGAGGCATTTAATCAAACACAAAATTAAAGTTCTATATAACCTTACTTCAGAAGGAACTTTATATTTGTTCAATTTATCAGTTTAATACCATTGCATATCACAAAATATTTGCCAATAAATACAAAACCAGAACTATCACAACACTGAAGTGCTTGATTTTCTATGTTATGAATATAAGCAGGACATTTTGCATGCTCCTGAAGAGACACTGTGGTTAAAYAAGACAGTGGAAATTCCACCCCCATTCTTTCCTTTACAGGACAGAGAAGAGGAAGTCCTATTAGATATTAGGGCTAGAAAATGTAGAAAGTTCAGAAATGGTGGGTATGTATGCATGCAGCAAGTCCATTCTCTGCCTAACTTTCAATTGTGCAAGAATAGATTAAGTGTCATGGGTAAGAAAATAAAAGATTCTCTTGTTGATGCCATCAACTGATCACTGATACCAATGCTGTTGCATCRTGTCAAATCCCTGACACAAATCTGGTGGCAGCTCCTTACAGACATATTGGAGTATTATTTCCTATGTCTTGGCAGCATTTTACTTGCACAAACACAGCCTTTCATTTTCACTGAAAATGCTGTTGAAWAATACCTTTCTTTAGAATAGTTTTTGAAATCCAAAACGTTTAATGTATTTTTCTTAATGCTACATTTTTTGTGTGACACCAGGTTTTCGGATTAAGAACCAGTCCTTCCACAATTAAAAACTGGAAGAACATTTTACAAAGAATGTCTACTTTAAATATCAGAGCTTGGAAAACAATTACAATTTTTTCAACTCATGAAGCTTTCTGACTATGCAAACTATCATTTACAAGCTAATACTTTAAACTTACATGATGTCACTCACCCTAGGGTCTGAGTACAGGTAAAATAATATTGTTTTCTTACAACGTCTTACTGATTTTTAACTGCTGTCTCATCTTCCTTCTCAAAGYTTCCTCCAAAATGTAAACATCCTTCAGATGATTTAACTGAAATAAAGCTTAAGACAACCTCTAATACAGAACTTTTCAAACTGATGATGTAAATGCAGCAGAACTTACCAATTAGCTCTTGGCAATCCTTATGAATTACACTCTGCTCAGGTAGATCTAAAGAGCCATCCCAGGATGCTAGGCTGTCCCCCTTTCCTACAACATTAAGTGCAATCTGAAAACAAAAGCAGAAAGCCCTCTAAAGATTTTGGGACAACTATAAAAAGACACTATTACTGAACTCAGTAATTTAAAATAWCGAGAACTATTCAAGATCTGAACCAACATGCAAGCATAATAAAATTCTAGTATGACATCTCTTCTGCAGAGACGCCTGGCAATTAAACTTTTTAACTCAAATCAAACACAACTTCAAGTGTTTCTTGCTTATTGATTCAAGCTCATATTTACCTTCCAGACTTTGGCCCTTAGATCAGCAGGTAACTGCCTGCCTTGAATGATGTTTCTCACAGTTTCAAGATCACAACCTCCTTCTTCTAGAGCGTCTGCAAGATCTTTTATCCTAAAATAATGAAATGTAATTTAAGAAAATCAATTACATTGTTTTTCAGTGTTTATGTAGACTGGAGGCAACTGTCAGGCAAATCCCACACATATGCAAAGGTGTAAGATAATATGGAAATTACTAAAAATAAATACCTGCAAAATGTTATTTATTCCTCTACATTAAAGCTGCTTGTTCAACTTTTGATTCCATACAATTTACATACACGAAAAATATAGTTTACTTTTTAAAGTGACAATGTTGCAAAATGTATCATAAAAATGAAAACTTAATTGCCGTTTACAATTTCAAGCAATTTTCAAATTCAGCAAGTTTTCACACACACACACGAAGCAAACATTACACCTAATTTAGACAGTAGAGTTACTGTAAATAAAATATTAGATGTCCTAGAAAACAGAACACTTATTTCAAAGATTGAGAACAGACAGCTTTTAATCTTACCTTTCCCTGAAACGGGAAAAGACCTTTTTATCAACTCAGCTTTATTTAACTATTTAGTTCTAAGTGTGGACGTATTCACAAGACTGAATTAAAACATATAAAACTTTAATAATAGTATAGAGAGTAGCAAAATACACAAAGTGACAAGACAAACAGGAATGACAGGCGCTGTAGTAAGACAGCAAAAGTTCACAAGCATTATAGATAAGAAGGCACGCATTCAGKAATGATTACTTTACAATCTCTCTGATAGTTTCTGCAGACTGTTTCAATGTTTCCATGCTGTCAATAATGAGAGAACCACATCTGATGATTTCAGGATTTCAGTATCATGTAGAAGAGCAGTGGCAAAAGAGGTTCACTGGAAAAATAGCAATGGCTGTGATACATAGGTCCCACAGGCAAAACTTCTCCCTTAGTATATCTTCTTAACCCTTCTCTACTTGCTCTAACATCTGCCTTAAGAAAGACGTTGCTTCATATACCTGGTGAGTTAAACACACATCCAGGGGGTTTATAATCAGTGCAAAACAAAGAACATGACTGTTTCTCCAGAGCAGATATTCAAGTGGGAAGATGCATTCCTGGGGAGTAACACATCTATTTATACACGTGGAGTAAAAGATGCTAAAGTGTTATCAGTATGATTCTCAGTCACTCCATGACTACTATGAAGTCAATTCAAATAGGCACAGAAAAAGAATGTCAGCTGTTGCATTCTGGTCTGCTTTAATTTCCATATATCCACAACTAACTCCTTGATATAAAGGTTCCCAAATTTGGTCTCCTAAAAACTTAAGACACATGTTACTGATTTTCTAAATAACATCCTTTGGATAAGTTGATTAAAATCTCAGACCTGGAAGAATGCATGCAGATATCTAGCTAGCTTTACTCAAGACTTCTCGAAGTATTTACAGATCTGAAGAGTAAGCATTTTCCATGTGCTGTATGAGCCAGTTTCTTTGTCACTACTTTCTGCGTTGCATTTTAAATCATATTTCAAAAATACACTGGGGACTACTGTTTTCTTCAAGTAATTAYGCAAATTTGGATGAAAGAAAGCACAGTTTACAAAGCGACTGACTTGCCKTATTTTCTCACATTTTTAGTATTCTAAAAAAAGAAAAAAATCCCYAAGTCTTTTATAGGGCTGCAGCTTGCACAGGTTGCCAATTCCTTTCTTGAGACAGAAATGGAGGGGAAGCAGAATATGGAAGCACACTTATACTTCCATCACCTATTCTGTTGTCCAGTTGTGTATGTAATAGTGACTGCCTGGAAAGTTAAACGAATGGATCAATTAGCCTTGAATAAAAATCAAGTATTTCAAGGACATTCACACAAAGAAACCTCCTAGCCCTCAGCAGAACTGCATGATCTCTAAGATGATCTAGCTTCAACAGAAGCYGACATCAAGAATGAGGTGCTCTTAGACTTACTGCATGTTTGTGTGAACACTGTGTRTGAAAAACAGACTAGAGAGCAACAGCCAGGCCTTGAATTACAGCACACAAAATTCAACTAGTTGCTATAACTATATCCAAGTATTAAACAGGTATGTGGAAATGAATGCAACAGCTGTATGCATATTTCATTTCACATAGAAAGGTCTTAAATTGCAATACTTCAACTTCATTTCTGTGTAACTCAAATAAACTCTTTTGAGAATAAAGAAGTAATTTTTACTTGAAACAAACATGAAACAACACTTCTAAACTCAGAATCACCTGTCAAATAATGTTTCACAAACCCCCAAATACTAATTCTAGCAGTTATTTGTACCMAGCATTCACAAAGCTGTGCATGGGTTAACATCAACTTCAACATGTTATCTGCAAATGTATGCTTCTGCTTCTTGAAAATTTATTACCATTTGCAAAAATGTAAAAAAAATTATGTTGTAATCCCCACTCTGTACACTGCAAAGATGAGAGGCAACTGCCAGTTTTACTACTTCACCTCACAAAGGAAGACAATGACATGCCCATCTGCCACATGARGAGATAGGATGCATTACAAACACAGAGTTAAATGAAATAACAGCRCAGGGGGGAAATGCGTTGTTCTGCTGTGATTCAATTAGGTGCTCATTTCCTCCATCAAATGCAAGATTGCTCACAGGCTCTAAGTAAGGAMTTTTAAACGATTAAGTAAATTCTTTCCCAATAAACATTCTGTTCAGGCTAACTTTCAAAGTACAAAACATGAAAGTGATTTCAACACTTTAACACGTCCACTTGCTGGTTTTTACTTTATTTCAGTCAGTGCTGTTCTATAAAAATCCCAGTAAACTGCTAGCAATCTGGATCCTTGTCTTTCATGACTGAAGACCAGCTAGGAAGTCATCTGTTCACAGGGACAATCATTACACTTACTTTGAAAATAAAGCTCCCTATGGGCAAACTCCTCCAGACCTGAACATCCATACTTTCTGCTCAGCCATGGCTTCACTGCCTGTGAAGATGCTACTTAAAATTTCGCTCAGATGTGTAGAATTCCAGGCTACACCTGAGCCATGGCCTGAAAGGTAAATTCCCATAGRATATACTGTTCAAAATGTCATAATACAAAATGTTCCTATTCGTGTATCTGGAGTAAATTTTTTACTTATAGAAGGATCTCTTAAATTCATGCCAGTCTGATAACATATTATAATCAATAGGTAACTATCTTCACRGATATTAAAGAGGACTTTCTATAGCTTAAGATGTGAAAGTGGGAGGCAAGAAAAATTTGGGAATTCAGCCTAAGCCATTTTTTCTAAGTATTATTCACATATGGCTGAGGTAGTTGGTAATAATCACTTATAAATACTMGTGAAGGAATTAAAAATGTGGGGGKTATGAACAGCAGAATAAAGATAACAGTAAGTGATCAATAAACTACATAAAATATTAAGAATACAACRATCAATTTCATACTTTTAAAGAATCTGTTTACTACGGTTCCTAGTTTTAATTCAGAATTTTCCTRACTACCAGGAAAAAGCCTCAACAAGAGCTATACTGAATTGAAACTAATGAGTGTTTGTTCTCTATTGAAAACAAACAAAAATCAATCCCTCACATTTACTTCAAAATATCCATTGTATCCAGAACATCACTGAACCTTTTTTTTTCCTCCAGTGGAATTCTGGAGAAAAACAATTCCCTGACATTTTAACCCCTATTTTTTCATCACGTATTTATTTCACGCTTAACTGTAAAGGATTTTTCTGTTCATGGGCTTTCARAAGAAACACTATGGCTGCAAGTACTAATTAGCCAGATTGTTAGAATGGGAAAGCTATGTGGAAACTGCATTTGTCACCCTGTTGTCTTAGGTAGTTTGCATTTTGGGACCCAATGCAAAGTTAAATGCACAGGAACAATTCCATCTATGGTTACAGTTATATTGAGTTAGTTCAGGTCCTGACTTTCCAAGTAYAGTTCTTAAAAATKACTACWCCATCAAGTTTCCAGAAGCTTGAGYATTAAACAAACATCTGCAAAAAGATTTTAGAGATTAATTCATAACCATCAATCTGTTTGAGAATCTGAACAAGAAAAATAAGATCCAAGTCATTGATTTCCTTGATAGATGAAGTGAGAAAAATCTATAACTCCCAATTACATTTTAATTAATAACTGGCCATCTTATTTGTATCTATACAGTCTTCTGACTAGATGTATTGTATTGACTGAAATTATGATTAAAATAAACAAGTAAGCAGACAAAAAAAAAAAAAAAAACCCAAAGATTTTACAGCAGTTTGAAAGCAGCCTGCTTCCTTTGTCTTTCACAGCATTCTTAAGCTTTGGACAGATATGTCTTCCAGAACAAAATAATGCTGGCAATTTCTCAAATTAGCTTTTGAGTATATGCCAAATAGCTAAAAAGAAACATTTARCAAACAAGGTCTGTCTGATTTTGCTCATTTTTAAATCAAAAGTGTTGATAACAACTTCCTGTATTTACTGAAGAAAGGAAAATTACAATCTCAYCTTTCTCCATACATAAATTTGGGGTGRTGATGMTGSTKKTWWWAAARAAAATATKTTACAGAGCAGTGGCAAACTKCCCTGGGTTTTGTTGAGCAAAACACAAGCAGTCAGTACAGATGTTGACGGTTTAACTCACAATTAGTTTGGGGCACTTCCAGGGAAAACAAAYAGAATTTTATGTTAGTCTAGAGCAGGTCTAGATTCTACACACTACAGGTGCTGCAACAGTCTCTGAACACAAGATTACATCTGCCTTTTAATCCTCTGAAGGAAGTGAAGAGAGGATATGGAATCAGCACTGCCAGTTTTATTCCCAGTAGAGCTCAGGTGTACATGTATAATTTTATGTTTGGGGATTTTTTAAATATAAAATCCTAGATACTTTGAAATTTGATAAGGCAGAAATCTACACCAAAAAGCTCTTTCCAAAGATAAATTCCATATTTAGAAAAACAACTGTTCACAGCATTAAAATATGAACACRACTGTTTAAATCAATAAATGAAAAAGAAAATACTCCACTGAAACAGGCTTTTAAACAAAAACTGGAATGGGAAAACAAAACCAAAACACCACATGAAGTTTCTAAGCAAAGTATAAAGAATGCAACTCTGTCATTCGCAGCATACAGCTCTAGTAACAGGATGCACGGTCACATATTAATGTGGCATTTAAGCATAAACCTGTTGAATTGTTCCCATAAAGACTTTAAAAATGTGTTYTAACAAATGCCTTCAAGTTTGCCTTTTCTACTACCACCAGCATATTAAATTTACTATCGTTTTGAAGCTGCCAGTCAGAAYAWCAACAATGTAGRCTGTGCCTTGAAATATGTCTGGAAACACACTTGTCCTCTTCCTAAAYAGAAATTGTAGAGAAGTTTGTTGTGATCTAGGAGATAGCAATATTCTTCCAACATGAGCACTGGAAGTAATTTGAAGTACTTTTTTCAGAGATATTTGAACTTATTCAGTGTCCAGGGTTATATTWCAAAGTGTCAAGACTGTACCATCTGCAAGTCCATCCCTTGCTTTGTAATTATATGGCCCAACAGTCAGGTCTGTATTTAGAAATAATGCTTCTGCAACACTGTACTTATAGAATGAGCTTCATAAATTTTGAGGCTGTAACTAAAAGCAAAAAAAAACAAGGATAAAAAGACACCAACTAATTTACATTCCCTAGTTAATGACACTAGGTTGTTTGAACCAAGAGCTCTATTTGTAGAACCAACCYAGACAAATAAGAGGTTCCACATACACCTGCATGTGTGTTTTGTCTCCCTTACCATGAGATAACTAAGCACAAAGAAGGCTAGACTCAGGAAACTTTGAATCTACGACATCAAATAAAGCCTAAAAGCAAAAATATCAGATTGGAAATGATCATAAAAAGCAGCTGGGTAAAGTAATTGCTTGAAAAGCATATATATGGAAAGGACAAAGAGCAATAGTGTGGCACAGAGCCACAGAAAGAAATCACATGCAATGCAGAAGCGCAAAGACAAAAACAAAGTGAAGATGCAAATGAATGGGGATGTTGGGTGCAGTAAGAATAGCTTCAGTGTTTAAACACAATGTTCATTTAAGCCTCAGCAATCTTGAGTGAAGATGCATGCAACAAATYCTTAAATCCCATCATTGTTACCATCAAAATGATCCTATACACGCTCCAGAAACGCTCTAKTCTTGTCCTAGAGGTTCAATGTAAAATCCATTATGAGTAATAGCCGTACTAAAGGAAGGTGGAGAGCAAAATTATTCAGAAAACAAGGCAGGATCCACTGTTGACACCTGCTCCTGAGAGCAGGCACGCAGCGAAARGGGAAGCTGAACTGAACAAAGCCACTCCACTCCAGGCAAGCTCCTGGAGCAGCTCCTACCGTACATTAAAGCTGTCATTTTAAACTGGAGCGACCGCCTGGCTCCAAGCTGGGGACRGCCCTGGTTTTGTGTTTCGCCCGTGTTTTGACGGGGCCCTTTCTCTCYGGGGACCCGGAGCCTCCGAGCGCCGGCGGCGTTTGCTGGGGGCTCCTCGCGGGCTCCCAGCGCGATCCCTCACACACACCCCGAGCGCAGCGGCTCCCGGGGGGACAGCGGCGCGTTCCGGCCTCTCCCCCCTCGTCCCCTTCTCCCCCGCTGCAGAGGGGAGGGAGCGGAACGGGACGGCGGGCACCCACACCCCCAGAACTCACCAGCTGCCCGGCGGCGGCGGCGCCTCTTCCCCTTCCGCCATAGCTGTTGACGTGCCCGCTCGCCCGGCCGTAAAGCGCGCCCGGGAGGTGTTTCCCTTGCCGACAGCTCCTCCCAGAGCCCGCTCCGTTCCCGCTGCCGGGGCCGCAAAGCGCGGAAGCCTCGCACAGGGAGGGCGGGGCTTTCCTGAGGGCGGGGCTTTCCTGAGGGCGGGGCTTTCCTGAGGGCGGGGCTCTCCTGAGGGCGGGGCTCTCCTGAGGGCGGGGCTTTCCTGAGGGCGCTCGGAGCAGAGGAGGGATGGTGTTCTGCCGGAGATTTGATGTTTTCGGTTTTCATAAACCAGAATTTCTTTGCCGGAGATTTGATGTTTTCGATTTTCATAAAGCAGAATTGCTTTGCCAGGTACAGGTTTGATTATTAAGTGACTTCCCCCGCGGTGTTTAATGTGCCACAGGCTGCACACCGCGAGGCGGGGAAATGTCACAAGTTTCACGCAGAACTCTTGTTTCCCAGGGCTAAAWATCACTTGCTGACATCCTTTAGCAACCAGGGGTAGAACAACACTAATGCTTTCTGTCACGCACGTTCCTTACCCACCTGCACYCTTAAAGGGGAAAAATGAACAGTATCCTTCAATGGAAGTTCGGAAAAATCTTTGGAGCTGCACACGGAATAACAGCGCCGCTTTATGAGAAACTGCAGTCCTTACAGTGGTCTGTTTCACTTGCACAGCTTTAATTCGGGACRTGCTCCAGGAGTGAACGCCCAGGCTCAGAGCGGGACAGCTCCTGTGGGAAGAGACACAGGACAGGCACATTTACCCTACAGGCTCCGGTCCCCAAAGAGCCGGGAGCATCCATCCCAAAGCAACACGCACTTTCTGCAGGTATCTGTTCCTCAGAAAACATTACATGAATAACCTCAACCKAGAAAGCAGGTATTTTACAGTATAAAACCCGGCTGAGGCAATTAAACGAATGTGAAGGAGGGGGCAATACTTGTAATTCCTTTCCTCTTTCTCACTTCTATATTTTCCACTAAAAAAAAAAAATAATAAGAAAGAACACACCTCCCCAACCCCCCCAAACATGCATTTAAATGCCTACTTTTATGTGTAGGATGCAATGTTAGAGTGCTCCCCGGCGTGCCCAAGGCACCGCTGTCCCCCGCCCGCCCGCCCGGCAGCAGGCACGGCCCGGCCCGGCCCCGCGGGCACTGCGCAGGCGCGGCGGCGGTGGCGGTGGCGGTGGTGGCATGGGGGACACGCTGGAGGAGCCGTGGTGGGACACCGAGCCCGGCCCGGGCGGCACTCCAGGTACTCCTCTCCTGCAGCGAGCTCCTCACGCTGGGCTTGAAGCAGCTTTCCTGAGAGCCAGCCCCYCCACCCTCCTCTGCGGCCCTCCTTTTTCATTGGTCTTTAGGCTTTTTTTTTCCCACTTCCCCCCTCCGCCTTTCCCTTCTCTACTTTTAATTTACTTCTCCAGGTTTTCCACTCTCACTCGTCTGGGTTTTTTTTTTTTTTTCCTGTGCCTGCTTTTCCCTGCTTGCTGCCGAGGGCGGGTTTGCTTGTAAGCTGAATCTCTGCAGCCAGTTGATGTCCAGTCTCTGATCTGAGCCCTGGGATAGACGATGGAGCAGCAAACGAAAATACCACTACTTAGGTAACCTCAGGAACCCACTTAACAAAATACAGTTAAGCAAAGTTGAAAGAAGCGGAACGAGTGGAATGGGAAAAAGTCTCGTTTTGAATTCAGAGCTCAGCTCTCCCTTCCATTCATTTACCTTCCAAACTGTACTTTCTTCCCAACAGTTTATTTGATGAAAGGCTTTTGCATAATATATGATCCTTGTGGGCGCCTTCARCTCAGAATATTCTGTGATTRTGTTTGCTATYASCCACGTGAACTTACAGTTMTCTAAGGCCTTGGAAACAGTAAATCCGTAGTAGAGACTTTGGAGGGAAAGATCTCTGTGGTACTTGAAAAGCATCACCCATGTGCTCACTGGGGTGTGTCGCATCACCCTTGCCATGTGTTACTGTAAACGGGCAGGAGTTAAATAGCTCTTTTCAGCCATTGCTCTTTGGAGAACAGTGCTGTGACTGATTAGTCTTYTTTTCCCTGATAGTTATGATAACCTGTCTCATACACTTGTATTTTCTCAATGTGTCTCGAAATAACAGGCAGTTATTTTATCTGAATAATGTTTATCTGTAAAAATTTTATCTGTAATGTTTAGATTTAGTGTGAAAGTTTAGGTAGATCGAAGCTATTAGAATTACTTTAGACTTTACAGTGCCCTATTTTATTCATTGTTTTTAAAATTTATTTTGTAATGCAATATTGATTAGAGTTGGGAATTATTTGGCCTTATCTGCGCCTCTGTAAAGACTCCAGCTTTTTGAGTGTCTTGATAATTTCCTGTGAAGAGGTACTTCGAGAATAACTAGAGAGGAAGCAATATAAAAATTGTATGTATGTAATAAAGAGGGGTCACAAGACCTAATAAGGCTTCTGAGCATTTAATTTTTATTTTTAGTCTCATGTAGGTTCCTTAGGCAGCCCATGCTCTTCATTAGGAATTTTTCTTAAGAGCCTACTTGCACTTTCTGCCAACCACAGGTTTCATTTGGGGTGCGTGGTTAGCTGACTGTTACAATGTTGGCAGCTTTCCTTTAGAAATTGGATACAGAACAGGACTTCAATTATAAACTTTTGCGTGATGGATGAACCATCTGACTTTGAGGTGACACTGTGAATGACAACTTTTCCAGTTATGAGAAACTCCTTGGGGTTTTTGCAATTGTATTTTTGAGCTACTAAAATAATTCAYGTGGAAAATAACCTCTGAAGGTGACTAACCCAATCTTGTATACTTCACTCCAAGAACATTCTTTGAGTGTRTTGGGAGTAGTGATTACAGGTGAGYGTTATGCAAACCAGGTACTCTGCTATCTGTAGCCCACCTTTGTTGGCAGATTCTTCTTATGGAGCCTGTTGTTGRATTAAGTTGACACAAGCTATTAGTAAACATAAAACATATGTTACTTTTATTCTGTGTAGCTGTTTTTCATGTAAAACAGGTAAAATCCAAGGTTMATTTGTACAGCATCTTATGGATACTGTAAAATGCACTAAAGTTAGTTGCCATAAAAGGAAATCAAGGTTCACAATGTATCACACAGGCAGCAATACAAGAAAATAATTGCACATTAACGAGCACCTTTGACAGACTTGGTCAATTTTATTTCTGTGAAATGTCAAGTTTTCATTAGAAAAAATACTATCCAAGCTCATTTGCTGACCTGTTTTAAAATAGCATCTTTGCCATAACTGTAGGTGCAAAGCAGAATTCAAAATGTACTTTTAAAATACTGATCTTTTGCCAGATCCTTTAAAATTAACCCTAGGATAAGKTCTGATCTACAGAATATTCATCATAACTCAGCTCTCAAAAGTGTTTTAGATTTTAGCAACTTGTAGTTAGAAAAGGCTACTTTTAAAATGAGTATGAACATCATTCATACACTCCACCTGAAGAGTATGAAAACAMAAAATATATATAATTATATATCACAGTGTATGAATTTATAAAGAATTCTAAATTTGCTTTTGGCCAAATCATTGGAAGTCATTATTTTAGAGTCCATATTAAAGATTAAAGGTAGTTCCCCTCACCTTGAGACATGAATGCTTTCTCTGTTGCAGGTAATTTATAAATGTAAAAAAAGCCCACAAAACCCAAAGAAAAAAAAATGCTAAACGGATTACCCATCTTTTTTTCTTGTCACATGACACAAACTAAAGAATTTAGTTTTCCCAATAACTTCTTCAGCAAATCTTTAACTTTGAGAGGAGATTTGTGGAGGGAGTGGTTAGGGATATTCTCTACTTAGCAGCRTAGTTTAGTGTTACACATGTCCCATGTCATGCAACTGCAGGACTTCTTACCTCCCTTTTCCAGATCATGTCACAACTTTGTCCAGTCTTTCATGTGAATTTTATATTGTATTCAGAATTACAAGAGAAAGGATAAGGAATTTGGAGTTTGTTTCGTACTGGTGAAGGACACCAACATTTTCCTCTTCTCTCCATGAACAGAAAAGAGCAATTCTCACAGCACTGTAAATGTCTCAATCTTGCCTGTAGCCAGCATGCCACATCTCCCAATCATTTTGATGGGCTTCTATTTTTCAGAAATTCTTCATGTTTCTTCCTTTTATGTTACCACTCCTTGTCTTTCATCCTCCATGCTTTCTTTATTGCCCTTGATTCTGCAGAAGTGTAGAATCCCCATTTGTCAGTTTTAGATCCTTAAGTAGGTGTCTATATGGTAGAAATTAATTGTGCCTTTGCAAGACAGGAGCAAAACACTTGTATGTCAGCAGCACAAGTAGATGAGAAATACAGTATGGGACCATGGAGGATGATTTGGTAGTASTTGTGAGGTTCTTTGTGGGCTTTAAGGCAAAAGATCCTATGTCAGGAATTGATTTCTTTTGCCAGAGATTCTTTTTTCTTTCTGTAGACTGAAGGGTGCCAGTTAACATCAATTTGTAATGTGTGGTTTGCAGCTAATGAGAAGCTGACTCTTCATTGCAGTGCATTCAGCAAGAGCACTGTTGCTTGATCGGAGTTGACATCTGTTGGTGGATGTGTATAAAGAGGTTTTTATCTTTTTTTTGGCTCACCAATGAGTTGCTATTCCWTGTGATGGAACTTGGTCAGTATTTGAAGATCTTTCTGATAAGCAGGCCAAGTTGACAGCTGCTTTTTGAAATGTGTGTTTCTTCACATCTATATACRTTCGTTCTGCAAGCTGCAATGGTGTGCTTCTGTGAGCTGTGTTTGGATCAGAACATACATGATCTGGAGTCTCAGAACTTGATAGCTGCTGATYTAGTGAATAAAATTGGAAGCCTTTTCTTTGTACTATGGAAAAGTCRTTCTTAAATGTCTGCATATTAATACAGGTGTGTCTTATAGGACACAGCTCAAATAATTTTTCTGTAGGCTGATCYTTTTAAACTTTTTAAAGTACTGTTAGAGAATTTCTTGAGAATTTGCTGAGGAAGGCATAGGTTTCTTGTGGGTTTGCAAAAGCAGTCACACAGCAGTGTGCTGTACTGTCTCAGTGGTTAAGTTTAACTTTTAGCTGTGAAATGAAAGGGAAAAATCGGTAACTGAATGCATCAGAATCTCTCCTTGCTTCTGCAAAAGGATTTCAGTTCTGGCTATGGCATTGTGAGCACCACCAGTTTTTCTTTATTTAGGAATTAGGATTTGGCAGTTCTTAAAGAAACACCTATGTGTAAGGAGTTTTCCCACATATTATCAGTTGAGCCATTTAGACTGTTGGGATCCACTCTGTTAGGGGAAGAAGAATGAGTGAGACATTAATACTAAAGAAATAAATTAATTTTTATATTTTAAAACAGTAATTTGTGTTAGTTGGTATTACACGATTCTTGTGTGGGGGTTCCTTGCAGTAGTAGTARCATTTTGTTAGTTTGTCTTAACATTCTATAGAACAGTGAGAAATTTTCTTGCAGAGCAACAATTGCTATTTTTTTGAAAATTGGAAATGAGTGTGGTGTCTCTTCTAAYGTTTTTGTTTGTGTGTTTTTTGTTTGGGGTTTTCTCATGTATATATTGCCTCTCGTGTATATATTGCCTTTGAATTTTAAGTCTTTCAAAGAARTTATGCCTTAAGAAAAGCAAAAAGGCAAATTCTCTAATGGATGAACTAGGTCTTCTTGTGCAAAAAGTTTAGTTAAAAACCCTTCACTATAAGATATGAATGCAGTTACATATTTTGTGTGACTGTGAACAGTTGAAAGGAAGGGCAAAACTGTGGAGGAATGCAAGAATAAAACTGCATTTCTGTGTAAGCCACAACTTGCTGTTAAGCTTAAAACTAATTTTGATGAGTTCTAAAATACTGTTTAAATGAACTGAAATCTAAATACTGTAGTCCAAATGGTGAAAGTTTGTATAGCTGATTCAAACAATATCCATCTTGATTCTTGCATTTGTTTTCCTGAYATAACATCTCCCTGAATTTGAGTGGATAGTCACACCAGTTAACTCTTTGAGGAGAGAGTTGCTTATTTTCTTTTTAAGTGATGCTTGGCGCAGCAAGGAGCTCTGCATTTCTCTAAGTTCAGTAAATTATATGGGAGAAGATTTCTCCATGCCTCTCTTCATTCCATCTTTACTGTTGAACTTACGATATYCACAGACACTTGACTAGACCAACTTTGAAAACATGACACCTTCTGCAACCCTTCTTCGTGTGATTGACCACATTTTTATAAATCTACAGAGACAAGCTTATTATTTGTTGAACATGTCAAAACTGAATTTATAGTAGAAACTTATTTGTGTCTTGTGCTTCTGTACTGTGAGTGCCAAAATCCGTAATTGCACCAGAATAAATGGGGCAGAGCATGGTCCCTGCTGACATGCAGTTAACTTTGGCTCCTATGAATTTGGCTGTCTCTTGATGTCCTGTGATTGGTAACCATTGATGTGCTGACCATGTGCATGGTTTTCGATTTTTCCCCAGTGGAAACAACTGCTGCTGAGATTCAGATTGCTTAAATCCATTTTAGTGTCATAGATGTCAGAAAATTATTTACCTTCGCCCTCCACTTTGAAGGCAGGCTTTAGACACAGTCCTTACAATGCRTATCTTTCCAGAAGGGCTGTCTTGAAGTAGCTTGTTGCGATGTTCAGCAGGAATTTTGACAGGTGCTTTGGTTGTGCTTGCAGGCTTTGGTTTGGGGATYCGAGTTGGAACTGAACGACGGAACACGTTGGTAATCTGGAAATAAACCGAGAAAATAAGTCATGCATTAGGGAGCAGAAACAAACGAGGGTTTTGGCTTGTTAGTACCTTTTTCACTTTGTAAATCTGACTGCACTGCTCTTAGAACTGTTTTTCTGAACTTCCTTTATGTTGTTTCTAATGAGACAGGGGTTTTGTATTTAACTTACCTACTTGGTTGGTGAAGATAAAAATATATGAACGGATTGACACCCAGCGTATAAATAAGAGGCGTTTCCTGTCTGTCAGCTGACTAAATATCAGCTTATCAGCTGATTAAATATGAGTGAGTGATGCAGTGCAAAGGCTTGAACTGTGTGGCTTCTCTGGGTAAATAATCAGAGAACTTCGACATGCAGAAGCAAATCTTGATTCAGTCCTGAGTAGCAGGCAATACCCAGCTCATACTTTACTATGAGAGATCACTCTTTCACCGTGACCAGTGTACACAAAATTAGTGTATTTGTGAGAGAACTCTCCATTCAGAATCCATAATTTATTTGCAAAAAAAAGTAAATATACAAAAATAATAAAAAGTTAATCTGTGCAGTGAAAAGGGGTGAGGAACTGTAAAGTCAAGAAGCATGTTTGAAAGGTGCCATTATCTGAAACCAGGATTAAGCACACACTACTCATCAGAAAACGTTTTTGCATCACAAGCCTTTTTATATACCTTTTCCAGTCAAGCTCAGGGTAAAAGAACTTAATTAAAAAAAAAAAAAAAAACCCACAACATGAAAAATGGAAATGGTATTCAAATGAGGACAATAGAAAACAATGTTGGAACTCTGATGATTTAAGTATGAATGAGAATGAGCAAGAGCAAAATGAGTTTTGAGAAACAACTTCCTAGTGGCTATAATGGTCTGTCTGGGCTGATTAAAAAATGAAAATAATCACAAATCAAAAGCTTGCCATTTACCTGTAGATAATTGTGTATGACAGGGGTTCTCAAAAGGGTAAAGCTGAGCCAACATCATTGCATGTGCTCAGTATGGAGGAATTTGGGGAAAGTTTGGACATCACAGATGGGCTTAATGGATCATGAGTAAGGAAAAAAAAATCAACTTAACTGAACTTTGATAACAAAGAGATAAAATAGTAATGATCTCCCAGAACAGTGTGTGTGTTTTTAGGAGTTCTGCAGGAGATGATTTTTTAAATCGCAGAATTCTTGTTAGTGATGTGTGATCTACCACTGACATTGTTGGTGATAACAKAGGGGTGTGATGCCCCTTTGTAGTAAAGCTTCACAAGATTCATAAGTGTAACTGCTGAACTGATCAAAGTGTAGAAATGTCAGTTAAGAAGGAATGCATTTGCCCACATGGTTACTGATTTTGTGATGGGAAAACATCCACATTTCTTGTCAGGGATAATACTCAGGTGTGTTAGGTATTGTTATATAGGTACATGCTATTGGTTTGTTTGATGATGAGACAGGTGTAGGAGGGAAAGACCTAGGTACATTTTTAACTTACTGTTATAGGTGAGACCATGTTATATTGTGAGTTAAAAAAAAAAAAAAGAACTCTTGATAATGGTCTCTAATAAAAGAATCTGGTGAGAACAGATTTTGTGTGGGCACTGTGGAAAAATAAGGACAATTCTCARGCTTAGTAAGTGGCAAGTGGATAGGTAGCAGAGCAGTGAACTAGTTTTTAATAGTATACTGGAGGTAGCATCTGARCCTCACAGATACCTCTGCTACTCAACATATTCATAAACTGCATGAGAAGACAGTGCTGAAATGATAATATTTGCATATGGTATAACAGAGAGTATTGGAAACAAGAGCTGATAGTAATTCATGTTACTGAGTAAAAATATGTGTCAGTTCAGTATTAACAATTGAAAAATAATATATGTAGGGAAAACTAGTTCACATATAGTAGTGACATTTATTGTCACTCTGAAGACAGATCTTGGAATCACTGTAAATTTGTCCTCATTGCTCAGCAACTGGCAGTTGTCAAAAAGGTAACAGGCAGGTTAGGAATTACTAGGGAAAGAGCAGAACCCCATCATTTTTTAGTGTGTGAATCCAAACCATACCTACGTTGTGAATGTTTTGCAGGGTTTTGTCCAAACAGCTCAATAAAGGGTATGTCAAAATGCAGAAGAAGAGGCAAAGACTGTCAATTGTGAAATGACTTCTGAGTGAAGATTAATAAAATACACGAAACCATTTTAAGTTTGGAAAATAGATGGTGGTGAGAAAAATAAACAGCAGCAGAAATGTAGCATTATGTAAATAGGGCAATGCTCCAACATGTTTGAGAGGACATCCACTGAAGGTGGGTTAAATGTACGCGAAAACTGTTTTCCCTTGTCCGTGAGCTATGAAACTCATTGGAACAGACAATTTTTGAGGTAATAATATAAATTGGTCTGGAGAGAATGTATACAGATTCAGGGCATCCATCAAGGACTGCWAAACACAAAGATGTGATGGAGATTCCAGCTGTGGATAGCCATAAGTTGCAGGCTGACAGAGGCTGAGTTTTCTACTCCATGTGCCTGGTACTTGACGCTTCATAGGCATTTACCAGTGGTCATAAAGAGGAGATTTTTAATCTGAGCGTCTAAAACTGCTCCCGTGTTTTTATTTTTTAAAATCAGCATGTTTCAATTTGTAGCGACTTTTTTTTTAGTTCATTGAGAAAGGCGTTTGAGTTTGGCTTTGAAAGTGAATAAGGAAAAAGGTGATGCGTTTTTCTTTCCCTGTGTTCCTTCAAGATTTTACCTCTAGGTGGCAGCGAAGTTTTCCTTTTGCACTGCGCCCTCKTACTTCACTTAAACCCGACTGAAACTCTTCGTTAAATGCTGAATAAACAAAATTAACATGCATTTTCATGGTAGTCTGGAATTTCAGCATTCATATTGTTAGTAGGAAAGGAAAAAAAAAAATCCCTCCTTTGCCCCCAAACCAAAAAGCATTTTGCTTCAATTACTAAAGGCACTGTGTTAAAAAAGGAATTGATGTTGGAGGGGATAATTGTTCCTGCTGTATGGCTTTCTGTGAGTACGGAGTTGGAAGAGTTTGGCTCTGACCATGTGGTAGATGCAGCATAGTATTGAGAATAAAATATTTGAGTGGACTGTTACTGGCASTGCTGCTGTCTGATGTAATTATACAGATGATAGAAAACAAACATGTTTCCCAGTTATAAAATTAGATTAGCCATCATTTGCTAAGTACATTGACGTGAATAGATAAAAATATTTATGTAAAGTCTTGCATGATAAAGTGAGATTGTATCTCTGAGAGTTCTGTTTGGTTGTTTGGTTTGGGGTTTTTTTTTGAGAAGTTTTCCAGTTCAGAAGTCCCTTAGGTTACAAAGTGGTTGGAGTATTGTCTGGAATTGATTGACCAGCCATGTTAGTACTTCAGGAAAGTGTTAGTAGGCCCAGATTTGTACAGATTGTGCATCTGACTGGTATTTAGACTGTAAGGTTTTGCTGAATCAGTGAGTAGTCAGGTGTTGAAATACCCCTGTGCTCTGGCCTATGGTTTGCACCAGTGTCTRGCTCATTAAAACCACCATTGACAATATGGCCTTCTGTACCATCAGATTTCATTTCAAACCATTTTTTTTTGTGATTCAAAATGATGTTGTATTTTGGAGTTCTGAAGGACAGTATTGAATACATCTGAATTATTATCATTTAATACCTAGAGCTGCATTAGAACTGATAGACTTGTCAAGTTTTGATCTGCCTACAGAGATGCACTGTTCTCTTTTGCTTGTGTGATATTTGATTGTAGCCACAATAACTCAATTGCTCTAACTCCTGGTGTAGGCTCAAACTTAAGGATAACAGCTGTATTAGGGGCTTCTTTTCCTATGCAGATAGACTATATCAAGTAAGACTATAGTAAGTGTCTGTGCCAATACAACTGAACTTGCACTTCAGTGATTGTACATTGGTACAATCTGACTTCTTTTGAAGGCAAGGATTTAACGAATCGCCCATCTAGTTCTCTTCCTCCTCATACAACACTTAAAAATTAGTTTCTTTCTCATTATTCCTGATAAAAATTCTGGAGAGGAAAGACTGAATAACTTAAATTTAAGAAAAACACTTATTGACACTTATTTGAATTTAATTACATGTGTAGCTAGATCAAGGACTGAACTTTATTTTATAAAAATTGTACTTGATGAATTATGAATCTCAGACAGGTGTTGTAAACAGAACATTTTGGGTCTGTTGTCTGGATCAGTGCTTAAGCAGCTGTAAGATGTACCTGTAAAGAAGGAATGGCATTGTGTGGGAGTTGTCTGGAAAGCACTTGCAAGTAACCATGTGCAACATTCTGCATTGGTTTAGTTGTATGTGTACTGAGAATGCTTGTGCAATACTCCTAGGTCCTTCCCTACTCCTTGGTGTAGGGGTGTGTGAGCAGATACATTGGCTATAGCAGGCTTATACCTTGGGATGTCTKTTTTGGTTTTTAGACAGAACTAAGTGACTGAAAAAAACCCTTATATGTAGATTTTAGTGGGCTTTTCCAATTTGATTTTAAACTCTTGTCTATGTAAGGGAAGATGTAATGGTCTATGTGCACACCATTAATTGTTTCAGTTCTCTTCAAATGTATACATCCTTTCTACCACATAATTTTTTCCTTCAACATGAATGTTTTTAGTCTCCCTCATTTTATTTTGGACTTTCATTTGTATTATGAATTTGCTGGTTTTGTGTTCATCATTGCTGTTYAGTTATGGTTCCTTGAGTTCTCATCTGTAGGCCGCTTTTTATATCTGCTACCTTTCCAAGTGATAGAAGAGGAAAAAAAGATATGCTTATCCTTCAAAAAACAAGTTGAGCTGCCTTTCATGTTCTGGARATCCCTTGTGAATTCCCATTAACGCTCTTGAAACAAACCTGGAAAAAAAACGTTGCCCAGGAGTGACCTGAGTAGTTATGCATTTCTCCTTAATATATCTAAGTAAGCATCAGCAAATAATTACTGCAACAATGGCAACTAA